TTAGGCTTTTAAGGTCCAAGGTCAGACTCCGCGAGGAAGATGGACGAAGTAGACATTGGGTTTCCTGTGGGTGTATACACAACACCATGATGAGACGGGTCAACGGCAGTCATGTACAAGTAACCTCACGCGAACCATAGCTAAACAAGCCTCAAAACCTTGGTACTTACATACATAATGATGGGAGAGGGCAGTCGATGAACTTGAGACTTGACCCCCTTTTTTCCAATGGAGTTTGGGACTTTGAACTCGTAGGGACAACCACAGTGAAGGAATGGGTTGAAGCATTCATCAGCATCGGGTTGAGAGGTTGCTGAGATTGTGATTGTGGTTGTATCAACGACTGGAAAGACAGAGTGCGGCGTCGCGTGGAGGAAAGAGAATATCCCTACATGTATAGGCACCTCGTCCTCGTAATGAATATTCATCACTGTACCTGTTCGGAACATGCCCTTGGAATCCATCCACTATCACTGAAAAGTTTGAACGGTCGAGGTTCTCTGCTCTGTTGGTATTCTCCTCGTAGCTCATTCAGTTCAACGATCAAAGAAACCGCTGTTGAAGCTCAAGAGGTTCTGCTGCAAGCTCCCATCCGAAATCGGAGATGATATCGTGAGCGACAACATTGATCAATTATGAATGGGTCGTCGGTCAACAAGGTCGGTCTCCTTTCTCACAGAAAATCCTCTGGGCCTCGTACGTACGAGTGAGGTAAATCATGTCCATGTCCCACTGTACCGAGTACTCGTGCCTTGTCACCTCGTATATGAGATTGCTCTCCTTGGTGCAAAGTGGCCGTGTTTCGGACACACACACACGCGCACACACGGGAAGCAGATCCGAATACGACGGTAAGCGAGTCTTCCCCCCTGAGCCCTTGTGAACGAATAATGCTAATACCAAGTACCTCGTACTCCTCATCCCTCCCGTGCCGTTGAGCCAGGAACGGGAAGTTCCTGCATATGCACCTCTAACAACCTTGGGCGTCTACGGCACAGGCCACATGCTTGTTGTCCTGCAGCGCAGAGAAAAGGAAGAAAAGGAAGAAAAGGGGGTTGGTTCTAGAACAATCACGCATGAGAGGCCTTGCTCCAACGTCCCGTCCCTGCACGCGTCAAAGCTACGTTTCAAAACAGACAAACAGAACTCAAAACACATCCCCTGGACTATGAAACCGTCAACCAGTGGTGGTCAACCAGCGAAACTTGGGCCGTTGTTGTGTTGTGCTGGCTGGCGTGCCTGGTCAGGGGAGTCAGGCGTTTAGCCAGCATAGGAACGGAGTAGTTTAGGACGTGGTACGCGACATCGTTCCCCTTGGAGTAATGGGATATCAAACGACAATTGGCCGGAGCAGAACGGGGAAGGGCTCGACTCGTTCTCCGGATAAATGGAGCGTGCAGATCTGGAGCAGAAGGAAAAATCGGGTGGACTGATGTGGCGCCCTCGCCTCGTCTACGAGGGGGGGGAACGAAAGGATTTCGTCTTCTCGCCCAATTGCCTAAACCTGTCGTTAAGGCTGAGAAAACGGCGCAGGTCTTGAAACGCTGGTGCCTTTTTGGTTGATGTTCAAAAAAGGGGGTTTCCCGTCGGGCAAAACCCTTTCTCGTCTACACGTGATTCGTCGAGATCGTCGTCTTGTGCCGTTTCCGGTAATTGGGAGGATCATTAAGGTTGAGGTCGGGTCCTGGGACTGCTGGAAGAGTCGTGGATTTATTTGTCAGTTGGGGCTCGTAGGAATTTGATCTGCTCGTTCTGGGCAGAGTGGTCAAAGTGTTATTTAATGGTTTGGGACGCAGGAGAAAGGGGGTTTCTGCAGCTCGAAGTGCCTATCGAAGGATGGCAAGCTACGAGTACGAAAACGCTCCTACAGATGCAAGGGACAGCCGCTTCCTTTCTCTGAGCAAAACGTGGAAGGAACAAAACTCCCGAAGACTGCTTCCCATGGCGCTACGAGCACGTTGTATCCCGCTGATGACACGTTCGTTTGGAGACTACGGGGAGTATTCGGCCACGCATTCCTCGTACGAGTACTGCGCTGGAGACCAGGGTTGATCGGCGTGTGGGTCATTATCCATCCTCGGCGAGCACACGGTTCAGCTGAAATCAATTGTCACCGTGATGGTTGAAGAGACCACTTCCTCAAGGACAAAGTGGAAATTGGAGACCCGGCGAGCCGGTAGAGGGACAAAAGTGGTGACAATGGGAGACTCGCAAATCTTTGAATAATAATTCGCTGTGATCCGCAACCCAACCGGGGTAGCATCCACAGTGTGCGAGTAGGTATGGAGAGTCCTGACATTCGGTGAGCATATTGCACGGGATACTCGGTTCTTGTGCGTTATCATATAGCTCATCCACCATCAGCCGCACTCCAGGATCTGCTTCCTTCGACAAGGTTCCTCGAAAGATTTGTCGTATTTCTTTGGTAATCATCGAAAGACGTTATTGACCGACAGGTGACAGAAGTTGCCCCAAGACTAACGCCACGGGTTTTCCAGCCACAGAGCGATTATGTATACCCGAAGATTACTCGATACAGGGATTTTCTGACTCAAGCCACAGCGGACCCATGATGCTCCATCGTGGCGAGTGTCGCGAAAGTACCTTTTAGAGTGGCTGATGGGGCAAATCCTTCCCGCACTTCTTCGGACTTGCTTCGCACCAAAGCAAATAGAGTAAGCTACAGAAATGGATCAAAAGGGTGGTCAGAAAAGAAGAAGAAAAGAGGACACGGATCGAACGGTGATCTGCATCAAAGCCCCGGAGTTTGTCAGGATGTCGCAAAACACTTTACATCCAGCGCGAGATCGTCCGATGAACCACAGAAGGGTATGTAGATGTTGTGCTTCGTAAAGAGGCAGAAATCGGGGGGGACCAACTCGTTCCTGCAGTAGATCTTCTCAGCTGGACATGGCGCTCGCGACACCTGGATACCTTGTTACCCTGGTGTTGATTGCACAATCGTTCATGAACGCCAAATGCTTTTTACGCGTCACAGATGGTCCCCGAGATGGGTTGCAACTTTGTGATACTCGGCGATGACCCTCGGGCACTACCAGACTCCTGATGAGGTTCTCTCGCGCCTGGGGTTCCTGCTGGCCTGTGTTTCCCTGCCAATGAGTTGTGTTCTGAGGATCACAGTGATTACAGAGTGGCCATCCATTCAATGATTGCCATCTCCCGAGAATTGCAAAAGACGTCGCCCAAGCCGCCGTCCCCCAGGATATTCCTTGACTCCTGTTAGTGCGACAGAGTGACGGCATCAACGGGGTGGAGTCCTCGTAGAAAAAATACTGCGAGTAGGTTGGGGGGATCGGAAGACGGAGAATTGGGCATGCGATCGGGGGGTCGCGAGGTTGCAATTCCACCAAACATAAGCCGAACCTGCCATGCCAGGTACGGAGATGATCATCCTCTAAGATACAGGATACAGGTACGAAAGACTATAGTGAGCGCGTTCCTGTTGCTCGGCGGTCAAACAGCATGTGGTTTGTCCAAGCATCAAACTGGTGACTGTGCACCACTACTCGAACTTGATGGGCAAGGACCGCCAACTGAGGACTCGCTTCTGGTGTTCGGTGTTTTAGTGCTCAGGTAAGGCAGACTCGTCTAAACAGCCTGCAAGCTATTCCTATATGGGCTAGGGGATCACTTTTAGACCACCAGGGGTGGACCCCTGTGGATGGGGCTTGGCCGGTATCTGGTTGGCCAGTGTTTCACGCTAGTCCTCTAGTGGTATGATCATAGTCTTTAGATAGTAGCAACGGTCTTAGTTTTGGGCTTAGGGTGATCGGCCTGCGCCGCACTCGCGATAGAAACCGCTAAGCGTGTGGACGTTCGTGCTATTCAAGGATGACGGCCACCCTCCTCAAGCCCAATCAGCGACAGTCTCCGCTTGTTGGCCTCAGGTACCAGTTTCCACAACTCTGCTGTGCATCTCCCTCACACGAACATTTCGAACCAGCATCTGACGGGTCCATCTCACCACTTGCTGCACCCACCCGGAGCTAAGACCTCGAGGATGACGGGTTTAGGAGGCTGTGACTGGCGGGTAGGCTCATGCTAGCCTCCGTCCTGCCGTTACACGATCCACCCGCTCGGTCCCCCTCCTCCCAAAAGTTCCCATGATTGCCCTCCTAACCCTTTCCCGGCCTCGTGGAAAAGGTGGAAAAGGGTACCTTTACACTACGAGTACGAGTACCACCAACCCTGACACCCCTTCTGGCGTTCCTTGTTAGCAGGACGGAGCCCCCCTACCAGCCCAAGTACGAGTAGGCTTCCGTCCTAGTCAGCACCATCCACTGCCCTTTGGATGCGCTGTCCAATCGCTTCTCCGACGTGCCTTGATCAGACACTCTATATTTTGACTGGGACTGGCCACGCTTGGCCCAAAAGCCTCATGCAAAGGGCACAGCCGCTCCGCTCTCGGCCGTTCTATTGGCGCAGGAGGCTCTATACCTCGCTTGCCTCTCTCTTACACCCGCCTCTCCCAAAAGTTATGGTACTGTAGCTAATTTCACCCTGGCTCCTGCGTCCCAATTCATTTCCATGCTTTCCACTTTGGAACCACTTTCTGCTCGTCTTTTTTTTCCCTTCTAGCATTCCGTTTAGGTGTCTGGTCTCCATTCTTGGGGACAAGAATAACATCCGGCCTATCTGGTCCTACACCTGGGACCTGCCCTCGCCCCGCCACGTGCCTCCGGCCTCCCATAGACAACTCAGCCCTGCCGATAGGTTGTGGGAAACTCTCTAATCCTCCTAGCCTCTCCCCTTCTTTCCACCATCAAGTCGTCATTTCCCTCATCACACCTACCCTCCCCTCCAGAAAACCCATGCAAACGTCTCCATTTCCTCAAACAAGCTTAATCTTTACTTGAGGCTCAGAAGGGGGCGGAGGCTTCCAAGCATTTCAGACGACTCCACCGTGAAACATTTGGCGCAGGCCTCTTGGTCACTTCGTATACTCTTATATCTTCTATACAATATCCTTTTTCTCCATCATGGCCCCAAAACAGCGTTCCCAAACTCCTCGACAACCTGGCGTCGCCAACTCCTCCGAGTCAATCCTTTACCACCCGCAGGCTACGACTACACTCTTTTCAGAAGACGAACCAGCCCACGACCGCCGCCGCCGCCGGCAGAGAGATAGCCCGCGTCCCGCATCTTACACTCAGTCGCCTTCTCAGGACACAATTGCTTTGAGCCGATCACCTATAGTATCCGACTCGCCTGCCTCACCGCTCGAAGGATCTGCTCAAGGTTTTACTTCACGTCGTGAAAGCTCTTCCACCATGAGGACATCATCCATTTCTCTCGACATGGTGCCCACCTGTACACCGACCGGCCGCATCAGCAAGGCGAAGAAGGGCAAACGTGTCCATGCGTGTGAGTTTCCTGGTTGTGGAAAGGTGAGTCCGCCCGTTAGGCGTCAAGACCCCCAAAATCCCAAGGCCCCAACCGTCGGGTCCAAGGAGGAACTGGGCTAATGATGATCAACCAGGTCTTTACTCGGGCAGAGCATAGAAGGTAAGTCTGGTGACTGGGCCGCTCGTTTTTCTCTCTCGGCCGCATCGTAAATCTCCTCCTCTAACCATCAACAGGAGGCATGAATTGAATCACAACCCTGAAGCTCTCTTTCCCTGCACTCGACCTGGATGTCGAAAGGCATTCCACCGTATGGATCTTCTCCAACGCCATCAGGAGAGACAGTAAGCCAGCACCTGGATTACTAGAGGAGAAGCGCTTTCTAACGGGTCCCTGCGCAGTGATTTGGAAACCGCAGCTGAAGCCAGCGTCGCTGGACACATGAACCAGATGGCACAGGTTGCAGTCACTTCAGAACCGTCTTCTGTGATGCCCGCTCCTGTCATGACGAGCCCTCAGGCCGATCGAAGCGCTCCCAGATCCTCGTCTGGAGGACTCTCGATTGGATCTCTCGTTCATCCTCAGCAGGACTATCGATATGGCATGGGAACACCAGCCTTCAACGGCTTTCCACGACAGCCCATGCACTATGTTCCTGGATACAACTCGGCCGACGACTCCATCTTCTATACCCCTGAAAGCAGCCAGTCGCCTGTTTCTGAATACTATGGCCGCTTCCCCCATCGCCAGAGTATCTCTTCCTCTTCCTCGGTAGCTGCTTTCGATCCCAGCGCGGCGTCACCCTTGATCAGTGGAACCATGCCCGGTCCCTGGGTGCCTTCGTCCGGACCGCCCAGCATTCTTCCCTCGACCATGCTTGATGACGGGACTTATTTATCTGTATGTGCCCTTTTTCATTGGGATGGTGCGTATACTGAAGCTGATCAGTCCCCTGCAGACTCTACCATACCAATACCCCTCTCCGACCTGGATGGAATCGAATGGTCTGTCATACGACGAGAACTATCAAATGCCTCTGGACTTCAGTCAGGAGATGCCTCAACCAGTATATCCGACACTATAAGGTGGGATTGTCTGGAACTTTACTGGCAGTACTTCCACCCGTCCTACCCCCTCATCCATAGACCTAGCTTTTTGCCCACAAAACCGAGCCCCCTCCTGGCCAGTGCGATGCTGGCCATAGGATCCCAATACGACACCCGACCAGACGCGAAACTGTACTCCCTGACCTTGTTGGAGATTGCCACGAAACTGTTGAGGAGACGAGATAACATCACGAGCCGGTCGAGGCTGGCAGACCTGCAAACCGTCTTCCTCCTGGAGATTTTGAGCAAATACTGTGCGAGGCGGGTGGAGGTGGAGATGTCTGCTCGATTTCGATCTCTGTTTGCGAGCCTCGACCAGGCACGACGGACGCTTGCCACGGATCCTTTGGCGGTCTTCCGAACTCTCCCCAAGGAGCGGACACCGGACGACATCCAAAGAGCCCACAAGTTCTGGCTCGAGCACGAGACCCGGCGACGAATTCTGCAGGCATGTACCGTCCTGGATCTCCAGCAAGTGACCCTGTTCGAACAGCCGGCCACGATTGTCCACCACGAGCGCCCGAGGAGGGACAGCCCCAACGGACTTCGAGTAAACGTGTCTCTGCCCTGCTCAGAGAGGCTGTGGGAGACCAGCCCGATCGACGACTGGATAGCCATGGCCTCCGGCTCCGACGCATCATCCTCATCCAGCAAAGCCAGGGGCTCCCGTCCGGATCAAGGCTCAGCTTCGTCTCTGGACTATTTTCAGATCCAAGTCAGCTTAGCCGCCAACCCGAGTCTCCCGCTCGATCAGCTCCTGCCCCGGAAGGACCAGACGGGCGAATGCGCATCTCGACTCATCTTCAACCGCCACGCCCGCGACATGGCCAAGAATACACCCGTTCGACAGCTCCTGGTGGTCAGCGGCGAATCCTGGATCATCGGGAAGAAGCTGGAGAACGAGGCCGAGTTCCAGGACGCCAAACGCAACCTGAGGGCCTGGGTCGACTCGAACCGCGAGAGCCGGGCGGCCGTCTGGCACGCGACGCAGCTGATCCGCAGCCGGGCCAAGTTCTCGACTTCTGACGCCACAAACACCGACCTCTCTGTCGCGTTCCACGACACCCACATGCTCCACGAGCCGTGGACGTTCTACCTGGCCGCCCTCGTCTGCTGGGCCTATGGCCTTTCTGCGTCGACCCCGGGGGACAACTCCGGCCAAGGCTCCGGGGCCGCCTCCACCAGCAGCGAGCCGACTTCCAATCCTTCACGAAGCTCCAGTCTGTCTTCGGCACACCCGGCTCTCCTTGATTCGCACGAAGCGGCATACAGTATGCGAGAATACCTACAGAACACCAACGTCAAAACAGTCGACGATTTGTTACTCTTGGACCCGCAGGTGTTTGGACGTATGCACGGTCTCCTCGAGATCGTTCGGCTCAACAAGGTCTCCCTATTCCTAGGGGGGCTTATGAATGAAGCCGAACGGGTCTTGTATCGACTCGTCGAGGGACGCAGTCGATTGTCACACTTTTAGATTCGTGGGGAGGGGAGAGGAAGGCATTGTTTTTTTCTGGCTTGAGTGGTTTTTCGCGCGGTTTTCTCCCCCTTTATCCCAGACTTCTTTTTTTTCTTCTCTCTTTCGGGTTGGTTCATCTGTCACGACCATGATGTTTTTACGACCTTTACGAGGATTTGAATTTCTTTTGGGCCTTTTGATACCACATCTTTGGGTTTTTTTTTGGGGGGTCTTTGGGGTCACTGGTCACCTTTTCAACTGAGGGATTGGTCGCAGGGGAATTTGGTATGGGCGTTCAGGGCGATTCTGGTGATGATGTTTTTTGTTTGCGAGTTCCAGGTATCCGAGACATTGATCTTTTTTGATTTTCCCTTTTCTCACGGCGTATATTATTTTCGGCGTGCATACAGGGATGATGGAATTGCATACTCGTCGCACGGAAGCGAACGGAGACAAAAGAACTTTGACAGGGAGCATAGCGCACGCATTCAAGGCAGATTTTGAGCCGGCGAGGAAAAAGACCTTGTAAAATTTGACAGAGTGTATCATCCACTATCAGCCACAATATGGGTAACGAAGTCCTTACGCAGAATTTTACTTCCATTGTCGATCAAATCTATCAATCCATCTCGGTGCATATTCTCGTGCCGTGATTGCTGATGTGATGATAACACACTGGTGACACTAAATTTCGTTTCCAAACCCTGTCTCTTTCTTCCCCTCTCTCTCTTCATAGCCAATATTGCGTTTTTTCCTTATAACGAAACTCTTGTCTCGTTCCCGTGTCGTTTGTCGTTGGAAAACTTCCCGGCTCGGAAATCAGACCCTGACGACAAACCCCAAGAATTGGAGAATACGAGTGAGGTAGGTAGGTAGGGGGACCCGACTGGACGAGTCACTGGCCGGGGAATGGCCTGTGGAGAGGAGGACTCGTGGTTGACCAACAGGACCAACAGGACGTGGCTGGCCTGCTACTAAATTTGGGATGGAGTAGCTGGCCTGCTGGCGCAGTTTGGCGCAGGTGGATTGTGGAGGGTCGATGCATGGGAGTGTGGACCGAAGTGAAGTGCGCGAGACTTTTGAGGCGCTGAGCCCCTCCGTCTCAGCCACCCGCGTACGAGGTCCGTAGGTGTGCAAAAGGCCTCGTTGCAGGCTTTTGCAGGAGGGAATTCATTCCAAAGAGCGAGGTGCGCAGGATATCCCAGGCGACTCAGTCACAAAGTCCGGGTGGTTCTTCCAGAAGTTCTCAGAGGTGTGTGTGTGGCCAGGGTATGTCTTGTCTTGTCATGTCATCATCGCCCTTTCTGACAGTCTCACGCCTGGAAGGCACCCGGTACAGTTAAAGGTACAAGTACCTCGTACCTGGTCCCTGGTATCTACCCGTACAAATAGCTGGCCATCATTGGCCCTCGACCTCTTCCTCCCTACTGGCTGTACCTACCTAGATACTTGTAAGCCCGTAAGAGCGGCTACACCCTAACCATACCGCAGCCAGCACACAACATTCCTCCCAAGGTACCTCAAACTGCATGGAGACAAATACCTGACAAGATGGAAGGAAAAAGGTGCAGTAGTCCAAGGTAAGAGGAGCGAAGGTTGAGAAGCAAAACACACCACCACTGTGACTATTGGTTACTGAACTCCATCCGCAGCCGCCGTGCCCGCCGTTCTCTGTACAACTCCTTGACCCCAATGGAGGACATCTTACTACTACGACTTGATATTATTATCGTACTCAGTTGCCCCGTACTCGTTTCTTCTTTACTCCCCCTTCCCCCTTCATCCTACATCCCCTCGTTTACTAACGCAGGATCACCCTCCCCCCGGTTCCCAGCCTGCATTTAAACCAGCACCCATTCGGGGAATCAACGGCACGGCGAGCCAGGAAGCGAGTCCGTGTAATCAACCGCCTCACACCCATCCAACCACTCCAACCTCGTTGTTGGACTGCTCCTCCCCAGATCTGAAACGTTGGAAAGAAATAGACAAAGCCGACGTGGCACATTGGCCAGGGTATAGGTACGAGGTATCGAGTACAAACTTCCGACTTTGGATCAGGGATTTTCCCATTTCGCTCCACTTCATCAGTCCGGAGTATTATTGTACAGCCCAACTGCGGATGTTAGAATGCACGTGGGAACTGGCACGGAGAACACGAGGAGGAGTTCCGACTACTCGTGGAGACCTATAGATCGAAAGTGCTCGTCGAGCCTTTGTCGTCCCGTAACGGCTGACCGCGATATCGAACGACACGCGCATTCCAGGTACGAGTATTAGCACATGCACGATTCCCGACCAAGGCAATCACAAAATGATGCGAATCCAACCAAACCGGACCACTTACTCATAATAATGCTCCTCATGCGCCACAAGGGTTTCGGATCATCAACGCGTGCCGCTGTGGGTCAGCTCAGGTCATGCTTGCTCGCCGGTGCTCGAGGAAATGAAAGGGTTCCTGCATTGAGAGAAATCCTTTCTGTTTTCTTCTTGTCACTTTACTTGTTGAGACTCACCCCTGAGTATTTCGAGTCACTCACCGGCAGATTCCGTGGGGACACGATACAAGCCTGTGACGGAACCCTCTCTTGGGACGGCAAGACCTCATGATAGTGATGATGACTTTGGAGAGCAGGGACCGCACGGCAGGGCAGGACGACGGGGAATTCGTGGCGCCGGCGGACATTATCATCTTGCTCCCTCATCCCCTTCTCTCAATCCTGGCTGGGTTGGACAAGCACGTTTGAGCAGAGTTCCCATCGCAGCTGAAATCATCTTTCCTCAGTCAGCACGCCCAAATCAAGTCTCCCTGAGCAAGGCCGCATCTCAAGGTCTGAGAAAGGGAAGGACTAGTACGGGTATGCACCCGAAGACAAACCTGTCTAATTCCATACCAGAACACAGATGCGGTCGAAGAGCGGCGGCATTGAACACCTTTACATCTTCCCACAAACTGTCGTTCATTCGACAATGGTACTGTCTCCCTCCGGGTTTCAAGGTGAGCAGCAACGGAACCTGCCAGACCTGCAACTAGGGGATTACAGGCCTCGACGCGCATTTATTTAGCTGACCAAATGGCTCTGTCAGGAGTTCGTTTGTGCACACCGTCACTGTCGCTCAATGTTTTTTGAGGAGCTTGTCTCCCGCGCTGGGTCGCTAACTCATGCATTTGGTCGAACTCGACACAACGATTCACCGCGACAAAGATCTTCGGAAGGTCCAAGATACCCCCATCTCTTGTCTACCTGGACTGCCATATATTCTTGCTGGACAACGAATACTGGACCTCGAGGAAATACATTTCTCCGGTGTTCAAGATTTTAGATTGCTTCTTGGCCGCACCTTCGATGAAATTACATTCAATCCGGCCGTTTGTGTGGGTACGTTCAGGTTTTGGAGCAGTTGAGATCATGCCTCCGGCGGTTTGCTGCACCAATTGCTTGGGACTTTCTGGTACCTGGATGCCCTTATTCCCAAAAGAGTTTCCAGACCTCTATGCAGCCAATCAGACACAACCTTTACACGAGCCTTTGGCAAGGTGATAAACCAAAGAGGGTTTGGGGGCAAAGTTCAGGGCTGGATACTGAGCTTTTTGTCAAGGGACGATTGACAAAAAGTCATTGGTGGCATAGCCCAACGGCCCCTCTTAACCCTGAGGCGGCTCCATCACAGCGGGATCAAGCGTTCAGGGACACCTCGAACAGATCACACTGGACAGGACAGCCCTGTTACAGCCCCAAATTTTCACTTTGAGCACTTGACGTGATGGGCCACTAACGCGCGCAGATCCAGACAGAACGCCTTAACCGAAATCGAACTCTAACAGATCGGCCTTCGAGATGGATACTCATGTCCAACTAGCCCTTGACCTAGCGGCCGATGGAGCCTCGCGTCCGCAGCATTGGCTATGTGTTGGTCGTTTAGATCCACAGCCTTCTCCAGCTCTGTGATTGTTTGGCGACAAAAGTTCAGACTTTGGGGACACGGCTTGCACGGCCTTGGAGGGTGTCGTGAAACAGGCCAAGAGTGGAACGGTAGGGTGCCTGAGTGGCACAGACGTTCGATTCACAATGCAAATGTTCTCCAAAATGTCCCGCCTTTACTTCCGAGCTGAAGATTGACTTGACTACCATCCCTCTGAACGTTCGTCCAGTTTTTCCGCCTGGGCGAGAACTGTGGTGCAGTTGCACGCCCTGGCCATTCTTCGTCGCAGGCAGCCGACCTCCATACACTCTGAGATATCGTCGCCTTTGCACTCTGAAAGAGCGTCGCGCTCGTCTCAATGCCGACCGCAACCTTCTCCGTCCTCTTCCTTTCCATCTCCGGACTGGCCTCGGCAGCTTGTTACTGGCAAAACAGTACGCTCGCACCAGATGATCCTTACTCGATAGCGACCGACGACACAGCGTGTTTCCCGGACCAAGAGAACTCAGCTTGTTGCGCGACGGGATGGACGTGTCTGTCGGACGGCGTTTGTTACATTGAGCAAGGGGGGACCAGCTTCTATTACCGGGGTACTTGTACAGATCGGACCTGGAACAGCCAGCAATGCCCAGGATGGTGCTTTGCGCAGAGTACGTGACGGTTTCAGACTGTACTGGTGACATGGGTATACTGAAGATAGGGATGCTTGCAGATGCCAATACATCCATACCTTTAGCTAAATGTGACACGGAACAGGACTGGGTATGTTCTTCCCTTGGTCTCTCCCTCTTGAAATTTGAGGGAGCAATATCATTCCTCGGACCGATAGGACGGAAAACTGACAGATTGGCAATAGTACTGTTGTCCCGGGGATTCACAGTGTAGCTGTGACACGGGCAAGAATGCGGTCAAGCTGGGGGACAGTCAACCGAGTACAGTGACGGTCATTGGAAGTACCAGCTGGCCCGGGATTTCCTCCACCACGTCTCCATTTATCCAGACGAGTCCTCTCGTGACCGAAGGTACCAGCACAAGTGACTCGGACAGCCTCACTGAGAGTACCACGAGTAGCACGGAGATCAGTTCGACCCCGACGTCGTCGCCCACCACCAGCGGAACGACGACTGCCGCGGGAGCCTCGGCAACCTCAAACACGCCTGAACCATCTCGGGAGAGTGGCGGTGGCGGCTCGAGCAACACGGGGCTTGCAGCAGGACTGGGAGCTGGATTAGGAGCGGCGGCGGTGATCATCGGAGTCCTGATCTTCGTCTTGTTCCGCAAGAGGCGTCACAGCAAGGCGATGAGGGCGGGCCTTGCAGCAGATGGAGGGCACGGCGGCGGCGGCGGCGGCGGCTTCCTGGACCAAGACCAGATGATGCAGAAGCCCTTCGTGGCGGGGTCCCAGCCTGGATCTCTACATGTGGTCTCAGAAGCACCAACTTCTCCTGCGTATCCTCGCCCTGAATTGGCTGGGGCGGGAGAATACGACCGAGCTGAAATGCCGGCCGGGCTGGAGGGCGATGGGCTCCATCATCGAAGGAGCACGGAGAGGGCTGAACTTGGGTCATGACCACCCAAGTGCCACCTGAGGGTGACATACGCGAGGCAGGGCCAGGTTGCTCGGGGAGAGGGAAGGACTAGGTAAATATTTAATGAGATATAGAGACGAGCATGGAAATGTTCTCCGTATGGAGGGAACTTCATGCCTTTGAGATATACATGCTTACACCCATGTTTCTGGTACATATGTACTCGGACTTGTATGGGTCTGCTGTACCTCGTACATGTATGTACCTAGTATGGTAACGGTCACGGGATCTAGATCACATGATCGTGACCACGTGATCATCATCGTATTCGGGTAACCATCTTTATCCCGCCCGCACCTCAGCTTCTTTTCTTCTCTCTGTCTCTGTCAGCATTTCATCTCCACACCCTTCAGCTTCTACTCGGACAAGAACTTGTATCTTCATGGAGACCAGCTCCTTGGTGATGACTACACATGCCTTATGTCATATTCATTGAGGCGAATCTCTCTCCCTCTAACCTCTCTCCTTCTCTCGCCACGACACAATGTCTTTTACAACTCGAACAACTACGCATTCGTAGTCATCGACCCTCTTGGCCAGACCAGAGGCTATACCCATGCCGTGCCTTACCATACCACGACTGGCATGATGCATAATGTCGCATGATGCGTCAGCAACGGACAAGACACCAAGTATTGGTTGGGGTGGCCAATTGGTTACGAGCCCCTCTTCTTCTCCTTCTTCCTCTTCCTCCTCCTTCTTTCGCTACGGCTGCAAAGAGGAATCATGTCCGTCAATGGCGGCATATCGGCTGCTTCTCTCTCCAACCCTCAAAAGGGTGTGGTATAGCTTCCTTTCTCAAACAGACGCTCGAAAATATTCAGGAGGACTTGGTACGATTTGCTAAGTTTCGCGTAATGGTCGAGAGACACTCTTCCCCCCTCCCTTTTCTTTTTTCTCTCTTCTTTCTTTTATAAAGGACGCGGGGCTTTTCCGGTTTCCTTTCTCTTTCTGTGCCGAACTCTCTCTTGTCCCTCTTTGGATATCCTACACCTCTCTTACTCACCCACTTCCCCCATCCGTTGTGCATTGATTTCCTGGGGCGCGAAAAAGAAACAGAAGTGAAAAAGCCCTCATTACACATCAATTACAGGTACAGGCACTCAGGAGTGTGGCGCAGTCGCGGGGTCACAAGGACTCGCGCTTTACGTCCTAGATTTCCCGACCACACAGCGCCATATACGTCTTTCTAGATACTGTATACAGCAGTTCTGAGCTCATTGACGCCATTCAAAATAATACCGCTTCATCTGTACCTCGTACAAAAGGGACCCTATTCCTGACGACAGTCACACCATCATGTCCTCTCCTTCAACATCAGACGAGTCCCTCTCGCCCACCACTACCCGCTCCTCCACAAAATCTAACATGAAGATCGCGATGCCGCCTCTCCCGTCGGCCTTTGTACACCCGAGTCCCGCGTACATTATCGCGCCGACGCCCTCGCCAACCCAAAACCCAACCAACGCCTCCTGGCACTCACAGGCCCACCATCACCACATCCATATCGCGACGCCACACCCCCTGGCCGCCGCGACCAATTTCCTCGACAAGCACGTCCCGCTGTTCGCCAAGCATCACGCCGAATTCTCGACCCAGCACGAGATTCGCACTGCTAAGCGCGAGGCCCGCCACAGTCTAGTAGAGTCGCCAATCCCGGAGCTGGATGCCGAGCATATCGCCGCTGATGGAGGCGCTGTCGGTGCCGCCATCCACAGCGCGACGGCCATGGGCACTGCCACCGCCCTGGGCGAGGAGTCGCAACACGCCCTCGACCCGGCCGCCTGGAACGAGGTGCTGGCCAAACGTGAGGCCGCCAGGCTGAGGTCTGGGTCCAACATGGTCCGGCCCGACGAGCGCTTCATGCACGATCTGGCCAGTGATTCCGAGTCTAAGAATTCGGGCTCGCCGGCCATCACGCCCTAGAAGGGGACGAACTTGAAGCTCGACTTGCATTTAGCTTACAAAGGGGAAGACTTCTGCTCCTTTGTGGGGGATATTTCTTTTCAATTGAGCGTATACATACTGTTTGTTTGTTGTAGCGCACCCCAGAACTATCGGGGAACGACATCACGTTTGGCAACTTTTCAGACGGCGTTTTTCCAAGGACTATCAATCGAGCAATTCACCAGCCGACCAAAAGACTTGATCACTCTGACCTCGAATCTTAACGGACCGAGCTGGGCCGGTAGGACGAAGGATTTTATTGGACGAAGGACTTTGCTTGTCACTCCCAGGTCGGACCATTCAAGGCTGGAAGCGAAAGTTAGAGACAGCGAGATTTCTCGGGGGCGCATGTGCGTATCGAACCCGGCACCAATGATTTCACACTTCCAATGACATGACAGTGTGTTGGGGTTGACTTGAAATTGAGATGAGACGAGTCATGTTGAGATTAGGGGGGTTTGTGCCTTGGGATATTATGATTTATGGGATATATACGACGACATTTTTACGACGACGACGAGGAGAAAAAAAGCCCGTGCTCGAAATCATCCTGAAGCCTTTTTTTTGTCTTTCAACTTTTTCCCTCTCTTCCTGTCTTCCTCTCTTCCTGTCTTCCTCTCTTCCTCTCTTGCTCTCTTCCTCTCTTGCTCTCTTCCTCTCTTGCTCTCTTCCTCTCTTGCTCTCTTCCTCTCTTCCTCTCTTTATCCTTGTCTTATTCCATTTGAGTGCCGCATCACATGAGACACGAGACAAATGTGACCCAAGGCACCATCAATGGACAACTTGGACACTTGCTACATCCACCGTACTCGGTCCGGTCCTTTGAATACTTTACACACGGTACTGGTTTCTCCCCCATTCTGGCTTGACTTGACCTGACTTGACCCGACGTCGCCGCTGCTCTTTTCTTTTCCTTTCTTTTCCATCTACACCCTCTTGGCTACATACACATACATACATACATACATACATACATACAGTAGCGACTAGTAGGTACATGGCCAGTGAACTCGCGTCACTCGTTCGTCATCCATCGATCGATCGATCCGTGTCCATTTCATGTAGTGAAGTGAGAATAAACAGGATGTATGGAAAATCTTGTATACAAAATCTAAAAAGGCTGCGCTGGACACCCACCCTGGCCGGATCGCTGGATCGCTGGAACAGACCGGGGCAAAATGGCTGGAGAACTGGAAACCAGAGCCCAACAAGCATAGAATGAATGCCATTGTACTAGATATCATAACCTCATCCACTTCATTACAATCTTCATCGTGTATCCTAGTCACACATGCCGTCGAACTTCTCCCCAGAGGTTTCTGACTGGCGGTCTCACTGACGGCAGCACAGCATGGTGACAGTTCACGCCTCGGTCTCCACCACTCTATATCCCTCTTGGATCCTCCTTGTAATGTCCTCGTTCTTGTGCTGCAGCAATGACAGCGCGTATGCTGTGTCGTCCCATTGTCGTTTATTCGCGCATCTGTTCAGGCGCGCTGCGAGTTTCTCCGCCAGGTTTTTCGCGTGTTTGTCCTATTTGGCACATCGTGTTAGTCGAGACCGACTGTGTCGTCGAAAGCTGGGAGCGCGGGCACAATATAACAAAACACATACCTTCTCAATAAAACCACACAAGAACTTCAGAATCCTCTTGACTGCTTCCTCTTCCATGACTCCGCCCTCCAGCGGCCCCTCTTGAGTGAGCACACTGAACATGTCGACAAATTGATTGTAGACGGCATTGTCCTTGGTGGCCAGTTCCGTAAAGAACATGCGCGCCAGATCTGCAATCTTCTTGTCGCCATCCTCCAGACACTTGGCCATTTCTCCCAATTGACCTTTCACCTTGACTTGCCCTGCCAAGATGAGGAAGGTCAATGTCATCAGACACGTTCGCTTCACACTTTCGTCGGCGTCGTTCAGCCGTCGGTAGAGGAAGTCTGTGTTCTCATCAATGAGATGGTTGAAGCACACCGCCATGTCGCCCAGCGCAATCACCGCGTTGGAGCGGACGATAGGATCGGTGGATCGTTCCAGAATGGTAATCAGGAGTGGCAAGTTCTTCTCGCAGTACTCACTGCTCACGCACATGAGCTTGGCCAGACACAACGTCGCCTGAGCTTGGAGGTTTCGGTCCTTGTAAGCTGTATTATTCGCGCAGATTTCCGTCACCAGCGGGCCAAAGTTCGCAAGCAGCGAATGTGGACCATATAGCAGCTCCCGTTCCCGTATGTGCGCAATGGCTTCAGTGAAATCATCTTCGGTGGTGCCCCCAATCAGGTCAAGCTCGTCCTTTTCTTCCTCTTTCTGCTTCTCCGCCAGGACCTCTTCTGCCGCAGTCCTCTTCCGCTGACGTGGGGTAGGGCCTGATGACTTGTCGGGCGAAGAGTTGGCCTCTTGCTTGTTTTTCTCTTGGTCCTGTTTCCGTCGCTTAAAGTCGAGTTCACATAACTCGAGATGCACGATTTGTTTGATGGCAATGTGGCCAACGGCGAACAACAGCTGTGACAATGCAATAGATGGCTTCTCCTGCTTCGTCTCTATCGGTTCAGGCTCGTGTGGTTCGGTCTCCGGGTTGGTGACTGACTCTTCCCCGTCAATGTCCATTGCATCGGGCTCTGGAGAAGACGACCTGGATAGCGACGGCAAGTCTTTGGTCTGCTGAAAGACAAGCCGAGTCTTCTGTCTTAGCACTTCAGAACATAGGACATCTGGATGATCCGAAAGAACATAGATGGCGCCAATGGCCTGTTCCGCCATCCCATACCAGTCTTTGCTTGCCGACGTGGTCAGGAGAATTGATGCGAGCATACGAAGAACTTCATGGTTGTTGGACATCTTCGAAAGACCCGTAGAAGCGGTCTTCTCTTGCACCTTCTTTGTGGTTGGTATCATGCGTCGAAGGGCAACGCAAGTGAATTTGGCGAGGACAAAATCGGTCCGGCCCAGCTGTCCAAGGCCGACTCGTAACATCGTATCAAGTTCCTTTACCACCACCTCCGGGCTCGCGAGAGCAATCATTCCGAGGACGATGATGGCACCTCTCCTCTGGGCCTTGGAGATTTCCTTGTTGACGCCGTACACCTGCCACAATTTGGCAATCACCAACTCCGAAATGTGGCCAGCCTTGAACATAGTGCTCAGCAGCTGTTCTAGCGAGGTCAATTCTGCAGGTGTGGCCCCGAATGTCAAGCTGATCATATTTCGAGCGACGAAGTTGGCGGCGTCATTGGCGCTGAACATATCAGGGGCGTCAAAGAAGAGACTCTTGTAGTTGTCGATCAGGTGGTTCTGGACTCCTTTACCCTCATCACTGTTCCCCTTGGTCCAGATCAGCCGCATCATTCGACGGATCCCCTTGCGTGCTGTCTCGACCTTGAACGCATCGATCGTCACAAAGAAGTCCATCACATCGATGACTTCGGTCTTGTTGGGCGACGACAACAACTGAACCGCGATTTCCGAAGCGTCGTGAATGGTCTCGATGAATTTGAGCGCCTCGAGATAATATTTTCGGGTCAGTTGGAGTTTGCCAACCAACTCAGACGTCGCAGCGTCTTCCTGTGCCTTCTTGACCGCGGCAATCTGCTCCTCCTCAGTCAACTCTTTTGGCTCTTCCACCGCCTGGGTTGCATCGTCGAGAAGTTCTTGGTCAACCTGCTCTTCACCCGCTGCTGTCCGTGCCACTCCTGGTGAGTCCGGTGGCGGCTTCAACGCGTCCAATTGTGATTCTACTGCCTCGAGTCTTTCTATCCACTCCTTTTGCGAAAGTTGTCCACCGTGCATCAGGCTGAACGGGTGCGAAGAAACCAGCTTCCTCAAAAGTTTGATAGCGTTCCGCCGTACATTACTGCTTTTGTCCTGGAGGCTCTGCATGGCAAGTTCGGCAGCATTCTGTCTCCTCTTAGGAAACTTCTGCTCCAGATCACATATCTTGGTGAGGACTTGCATTGCTCGCACTCTGCAGAAAGGTGCTGTGTCGAGAAATCGCTGTTCCAAGGTGTCGAAAAATGCATTGATTTGTATTTTGGTGGTTTCACTTTTCTCCTCTTGTCTGCTGAGATCTGCGAGCAGATTCCCGCAGACCTCGATCACCGCACATCGTAATGTGTGTGCCTCACTGTCAAGGAACTTCGCGAGCAAGCCCATTTCCTTGATGACGAGCCTAGGCTCGAGCTCTGAAAGTTTGATGATAAAGGCAGAAACCGACTTGGGACCTTTGTTGTCGTTCTGGCTGAACTCCTTTGCCGCCAACTCTCTGAGAATCTCGGCAGATAGCTGAGGGTAGTCGTACTGTTCCGAGAGGATGTGGAGAAACTCGGCCATGGGCTCTGATAAATGTTCAAAGTACGTGAGATTCTGGACAATCGAAGTCTGTGCCCCAAGAGCATGACCATGATGCTTTACTGCAACGCAGAGCACTTTGAAGCAAAACATGCGGACAGCTGTAATCTTGACTCTGGCTTCGCTCTCCATTATCATGTAAACGGATCTCGTAAACAGATTGATGAATGTGTCGCGATCAGAGGTTGTCTGGAAGATGCGATTCAGCTTGAGCTTCATCACTCGACACATAACATCCATTGCACTCTGAATCTGGCTGGAAGAATCCCAGGCATTGTCTTTGGTGGCCGACTTTGATTTTGCCCCCTTTCCACCTCTTCTTGCTGGCGCCGCGCTGGACTTCTCCTGTGCTTTTGCTTCGACCGCGGATATGGACCACTGAAGAAGGAATGCGTACATTTCCAGCAGACGTTTGTGCTGCGGCAGTGTTTCTTGTTCGTCATTTTCGATATCATGATTTGCGACGTCCGCGGTGGTCGATAGTCCGGAGACAATGAGATTGAGAATCTTGCCCAGGGTTTGAGTAGACAGGACGGATGAGTGCCTGCATATGCGAAATAGTTCAGCCAAAAGCGCAGATACTCGGTGATGAGAAGGGGAAGTAGGATGCTCACTTTAACAGAAACTGTAAAGTATCGAATGTCGAGCTTCTGAGAAGCCCTTCTGGGTTTTCCGTGATCAGATCTATCACCGAATCCAACACACCATCCACCATTCCTGGTGTAAGACTCTCGGGGTCATTTTCGCAGTCGATCAATTCTGAACTCGCTTCAGGCGTGGCGATGGTCGTCACATCGCTGAGGTAAAGCTTCAAGGACTCGTTTATATCGAAATCGACTTGGTCCTCCATGGTTGCTGCGATCAATGGTAGGGATGTGAGGGTCTTGTTGTTAACTCGAGCGCATGTGTTTTGTTGACGTTGGCGGGTCGTAGTCAACGCTGCGGGACATTCACAGAAGCATTACAGCGGTGGCCACAAACTTTGGAATGATCAGGCTGCTACTCCGTCAGCGTCAATAACAACAAAGTCAGAACCAAAGACTGAATTCGACCAGGTTTGCGACCATCCGACCGTTTGTTGGCTTCGCGATAAGATTTATTGACGAATTTCCTAATCAGTGCTGGCGGATATGCCCCACATACAAACACAAGCACCATGAAATTAGCGAAGACTGCCAGAGGCGTTCTTAAAAGCCTACGGGCAAAACAGACCATTCTACAGTCTACAAAGGCACCCAAGGCATTCCTGTCGCGTCACCATGTCTTGTTAAGCGATTCCGGGGTGGGAGACACGCCTGAGAAGGAAGCTGAACGCGAGTCTGAGTCCACGCGTCATCGGGAGAAGGCACGGCGGCCCGCAGCAGGGATCCCAGGGAAAGAAGTGAGAGAGCATCCCGAGCAACCTAACATGGGGCAGACTTCAATTGCCATCCATGAGGATGCACCAGAACAACTTCGTGGTGGTGAAGGAGACGTGGACAACATGGCTCAGTTCGAGGCAGAAGAAGAGGACTCTGTCGCGGAATCTGTGTCAGATTCAGAGAGCGATGAGGACGATGTCGATGAGAGTGTAGTCGATGACATGCGCCGACTCGAGGAAAGCTTCAAAGGCATCTCCCAGAAGTACCGACTCATCAACCGCATTGGCGAAGGTATTGACATGTCCTTCAGCCACACTGTCCCGTGCGTCCACTGACCTCTACATCGCAGGCACGTTCTCTACCGTCTACAAGGCCGAAGCACTACTTCAGCCGGACGAGTTGGACCAGGAAAACGAAGACCCTACGAACGAATCCTATTCCGAGATGCCCCCTTCAAAGAGGCGGAAAACAAGCGTTGCATCAAGCACGGTCAACGGATCACGAAAGAAGGGTCTGATTGTCGCGTTGAAGAAGATCTATGTGACATCTTCACCTCACCGGATCATGAATGAGCTCGAGCTTTTACACGAACTACGCCACTCCCCATACATCTGTCCACTGTTGACAGCTTTCCGCCACCTCGACCAGGTCGTTGCGGTACTTCCATACTTTAGGCACCTCGATTTTCGCCTGTACTATCGCGAGTTCCTGATCAATGACATGCGGCATTACTTTCGTTGTCTCTTCAACGGTCTGGCCCATGTGCACAAAGCGGGGATCCTCCATCGCGACATCAAGCCCACCAATTTCCTCTACGACCACTCGAGGCGGCAGGGTGTTCTGGTCGACTTTGGGCTGGCCGAGAGGCAAGGGACCGACTGGCAACCATGTCTCTGTACTGAGTCCAGGGAGAGAAGAAGAGACAAATTTATCAATTCATATGCGGTGCAGGTTATGCAGTCCTCGCCTGAGAAGATGTCGACCGGCTTCCCCAAGAATGATAGCCGGCCATCTCGGAGAGCAAACAGAGCAGGGACCCGGGGTTTTCGAGCACCCGAAGTCTTATTGAAATGCACCTCCCAAACCACCAAAATCGATATCTGGTCAGCTGGAGTGATCCTTCTCACCCTTCTGGCACGACGATTTCCCTTCTTCAATAGCGCTGATGATGTCGATGCCATGATTGAGATGGCTTCTATATTTGGCCGGAAGAAGATGCAAGCTGTAGCAGCAATGCATGGCCAGGTCTTCGAAACCAACATCGAGACTATTGGCGAACGTGGCTTCACGTTTGAAAAGATCATTATCTGGGCCAGTTGCCGTGAGAAAGAGCAGGACAGCCTTCGGCCGGGAGAAGCTCAAGCAGTGGCATTTCTGCATGGACTTCTCGAACTTGACGCTGGGAAACGAATGACGGCAAGGGAGGCATTGCAGCACGAATTCCTTACCGCGCCCGTCGAGGATGAAGAGGAGCGAGCTGAGAGAGAAGCTCAAGAAGCATTCGACGAAGAGGCGAGAGCAGCACGTCGGTGATTTTGATGCATGAATGATGGCACAGGCTCTACATCTGGCTTTGCCCCGAGATGTGTTTGTTGAATGCAACGCTGGCGAATGGGTTGGAGCTTTGTATTGCTAGCATCTTATACCCCCACGGCAAGGGCACGGCACAGCATTGCTTCGTTTGTTGAGTTATTGGCATGGCCAAAGGGCGCCTTCTTGGAGTCAGTGCAGAGACGATATGCAAAGAGAAAACGTGCTCGAGTGTCTAAAGGTACATCACGGCAACCCATAAAAATGATTTGTTTCATATAAAGGCTGCAACTTGGAATCACCGATACATATTTATAAGGGCGTTTACTTTGACCTCTTCCATTCAGATGTTGTTCCGCAGTCAATCCAGGGCGCGTGGCTCGTACGATAGATCCGGGATATACATAGTCAAAGTCATTCACGACTGGGCGAATGAGACGACGATGGGATCCTACAACGATGGAAACAGAAGTGCGCGTCGAGACCACAAGGCTGAGCCTGAGGCTGTCGTGGCAAGGCTGCTAGTACCTTGTGCTTGTGCTTGTTGCTTGGTCCGTGGAGACGGATTTTCCCGTCGCCGACATCGTTCGTCATTCATTCATCACTGTTGCTATATGGGTTGATTCTCGCAAAAAAAAAAAGTGGTTTCCCTGCAACTTCATCACATGCCATTATTATGTGTGCGACGCCTCCATCGAAATTCTTCACATGTTTGGCGCCGTCGATAGGGTCCCGTGGATCAGCTTGTCGTCTCCTCCATCTTCGTTGTCGCCCCGATCACCTTGTCCAGCGGCACTTCTCTACCTCAACCTCGACTGCTGCATCTAGACCGTATTCTGCTCGGTATCGTCCCTTACCACTGAACCCTCCTCCGCCATCAGGGATACCGCGTACTCCAGGGAAAATGTCATCGCCAACAGCGCCGTCAGGCTCGGCCCCAGCCTCGACCAGTGCACAGGCGACGGCGCGCCGGCGAGACCCAAAGCGGTTTGCGCCGCTCAATCCCCACGCCGAGACGGGGCACGATCTGCCAAAGCTGCAGGGCATCATTTTTGACATGGACGGGACGTTGTGGTGCGTATCTACCCACACACTCGAGTGACTCATTCATTGGGTTTACTCGTGTCTGTACAATTGCGCTTTGTGCTTGCGCTTTGCGAACGTGAGTCCTGACCGAGTATTCCATACCACCAGTCTTCCTCAGAATTACATGTTCCGTGAGATGCGCGAGGCGCTGGGAATACCCAGGTCCGTCGATATTCTCGATCACATCCGCACGCTCTCCAATGAGCCCGACGTCCCCATCGCCAGCAGTGACGGTGGACCAGATTCAGAGTCGACAAGACCGCATCCTCACTCGACAATCAACCCCTTCCAGCTTCCTTCTGAAGACATGCTGTCTCCCTTCAGCGACAAAATTCCCGATCCGCCCCCTTTATCGCCCCAAGCTCGCGCGGTCGCCAAGGTCCAAGCCATCGAGCGCAACGCCATGTCCTCACAACGTCCACAGCCCGGCCTCCAGGCACTCATGGACTACCTCACCAAGCGCGGGGTGAGAAAGGCCCTCTGCACGAGGAATTTCCCGGCCCCCGTGCATCATCTGCTGAGCAACCACCTACCTGAGCATGTGTTTGAGCCCATCATCACCAGGGAGTCTGAGGGCGTGGAACCGAAGCCCAGCCCGGAAGGGTTGTGGATGATTGCTCAGGCCTGGGGTCTGGATAGAGAAATTGAGGTTGGCCAAGTCCAAGGATCAGTTGAGGCAGCTGATGGGTTTGACCCCCTGGAACTGGCCAGGAGATATCTGGGTTCCGGCTTGATCATGGTCGGTGATAGCATAGACGACATGGCAGCAGGTTGGAGAGCTGGCGCAGCCACGGTGTTATTGGCCCAAGACGAGAACCAGGACTTAGTAAAGCACGAGTATACGGGTCTCAGCATCAGACGCCTTGATGAACTTATAGACATCCTAGAGAATGGGTTTGCGGAAAACGCACAGACATAGATCGCGAGAGTTGCGATCCCATTGGTGGAGGTGCTTGTGGGAACGAATACTGAGGGACCTACAATCCGCTACACCGTAGCTCCGCAAAGCTGGTATGCACAGTGCAAAGGGTGGTCCAAGCGTATCGAGGAGATTTTGAGATGTCGGGCATGAACAGCTGTCTGTGAAGACGAGTAGAAAATTCCGGTAGGATTCCAGCGTGACACAACGTCTATTTTATCCAAAGTCGCATATCGCCTAACCGAAACGATGTCCCCATCGCTCCTGTGATGCCCTCTGTCACACCTGGAAGCCCGCATTGCGTGTGAGTGAGAAGCTTCAGTGCAAGGACTCATAGGAGCAAACAGGGCACGTGGCAAAGCCCATCAGCCTACTCGGTACAATGTTGCGCTGTTTGAAACAAGGTAACACAGTCGCCAGCATCCGTAGCGCAACACATTCAGGTCACTCGTACTTTCGAGCATAACGTGCATGAATGATGGGGTGGAACAACGCACTCCATTGGCAGGATGGTGGCCGATGTGTTGGCAAGTCCAAGGAGTTGTCGCTCGACCGCGTCCTGGAAAGTGACGAATCGAAAGGTGGCATGAGAGTGCTGCAAGCCTGAAACTGTTTGTCACAAGTGGTCGCCCGTACAACCGAAAAGATTGTTATCCTAGGAGCCTCTAACATCATGAGGATCAAGCCGTGGGCGTTGGGTGGAGCCGACAGCGGTAAAGGCCCGTCAGGTGTGGCTGACCCATTCATTTGACCATTTGGCAGGCCAACCGCTTCCTCGGATATCCCTTCGCTTTCTTTTTCTGGTCCTTCTTTTCAGAGTTCTTGGTTTGCCTTTCATGCTCTTCCATTTCCGGCCACATTTCCAGGCGGTCAACAACCCAGCAGAGAGGAGAGAGGAATGGGTGGCGGCATCAACAGGTGACTTTGCGGCTATGCATGCATAGGGCATTGGCCAATGGACAGGTGAGTGAGCGACAAACCGCTGTCGATGGAAGGCTATTACCGACACTAGCTGTGCGGTTCGCGGAGGGAGAAACCTGATATTCCTGGCGCAAGGTCTTTGTAGATCTGTGTGAGTGTGCTTCAGTGGCCTGTTCTCTGTCTGCATGCATGACGTTCGACCCTTAATGGCCCCCTTGTGAGCAACCATGGCTGCAACAATAAGCATAACTGAAAAGCAGGGGGCAGACCTTCTGGGTTGGCCCATCTCCCGTTTGATACTCCGGTGGGCACAGAATACGGAGTCTTGGACCAGTCAACGAGACCCAGGTGTTCGTTCCCGGGGAATTTTTATCAGGATAGCTAGGCGGATAGTGGTGGAGCAGCGGAAGTGAGCGTGAAGGAAAGGTCCATGCCTTGGGCGGTGAACCAATAACGGTGGCAGGAACCTTGGTGGCGTGTGCTTTCAATTCTGACTGGTCGGGGACGGGCCTGTTGAACACTGTTTTCTTTAGCGACACACACCGGGAAAAAAAGGTCCGGAGACTGATTGGGGCCTAATAGGCTCGCCGTAGCCAGACTCTCTAAGCACTTGGCGACCTAGCACGCCTAGGTACCCTCCGCGTCCCCCGATCCATCTCACCTGCAACTAAGTACGTAGTGCTGCTCTGCGCAGCATCGCTCTCTGGCAGCTTTCAGCCCAAACCCACCGCCTCTGCTTCCACCTTTCCTCGTTGTGCTTTGCCATTCTAGCGATTGTTGTTTTGCCAAACAGCGATGATACTTTTGAGCGTTGCCAACCTCATTCTGTCTCAAGTTGATTGAAACCTGAAAACTACCCGTTGAGAACCTGTCGTGTCACCATCGTTACCTGCGGTCTCCGCACTACGACCTTTACCCAGCCTCACAATTATTCGCCTGCGACCAACAATCAACTGCACCACTATCCTTTGTTCCGTGCCTTCGCTCTCCGGCGATCGTTTGGCGGTCAGACGAAGATCGCATTCGCCGCCATCACCGCTGGCCCCAACAAGAGCCGGCAGAATAACTTCGAAATCCTCACTTTTAAACGACGCCAATAAAAAACTTCACCACGAAGCTCATCCACCAACCATGACCGCTCCAAGGTTATTTACAAGATCATAACAAGGCCACCAAAGGGCACATGCGCATCAACCCCTGCGTATGTGCTCCATGACCCAGCAAACTTGAAGCCGCATCAGGATGGGCTTTTCGAGTCGACGCCCAATTCTGCCTGCGCCCACAGACTCGTTGTTAGAGTCCGCCGACGAAACTGGTCTTGGTACGGATCTCGGGACCGATCTCTCTCGACGAAGTGAGAAGACCTCCGAGACGATACCTGACGACGGAAGCCCGATAACCATTACTCCAGCACCCAAGCGCACGATTGGAAAACTCGCAAAGTCCGGTCAACAGTCTCAAACTTCGCTACTCATTGAGTTATTTGAAGGAGGAAAAACTTCCGATTCTGGACAGAGGCGTCCTAGCCTACGAGTTCGCTATACACCATCACACACCCGGAAGAATAGAGACAAGGGCGAGCGTCACATCCTGGTCACCGAGTCGCCGACGGCGAGGAGGCCTTCTTTCAGCCACCGCATTTCCCTTGGAGGAAACGAGACTCTTGCGCCCAACGTCATTGAAGGCAGCATCAGCTCCTTGGATACAGCCGACGACTTCAGGCCTACGGTCCCTATCGAAGTCGAAGTTCTACAGGACGAAGATAGTGACAGGTCCGTCTTGAGTCCCCCTCCAGAGACCAGATCCATCATCCCAGAATCCGACATTTCGTCCATGCCAGCGGAGAGTTCACTAGGTGCCAATCCGCCTCTCAACATGTCGCTTTCCAGCAACAGTGTCAGTATCACACGAGGCATGTCCTCTCAAGGAGCCTCGTTAAAACCACCTGTCATCTCCACCGAACGCAATTTGAGCAATGAACGCATCACGCAAAAAGTCATCGAAAAGTTGAGCAATAAACCACGAGTGTCAAGCAGTGGAAAGCGCCAACACAGTAGCCATAGCGGAAGTCGGAGCA